CCCCAAAACCCCAAAACCCCAAAACCCCTAATGATGAAATTAGAAGAATATTCTAGTAATTTAATATTCTCATAGTTTTTTATTGTCATCAAGGAAATGATTTATAGAACTAATGTAACTATAACTTTAAATTTTAAATATTGTTATGAAATTAAAATGTTTAATTTGTTCAGCCTTATTAAAATTGGTTCAATAGACCCCTTGTAATGGTTGTCCACGGCAATCTTCCTAAACACCCCAAGCAAAGATATCGTACTCCTATCCTAGGGAATAGATAAGTCTTTCACTGAATTAGGAACTGACAAAATATGGGTTCGAAGAATTGAAAATCCATACACCACTGGTACAGTTTCCTAAATTTGCAAATATTGAGTTAGAATTATCCTCTGCTGAGCTACCTGACTGGATAAGCACTTGTAAATCCTGTGCTTAAAGAGAGGCAGTGGTGTTTGGACTCACCCAAGAAACTGTAGCTCTGTAGTCTCCCTAAATAACTGTAACGCAAGACCAGCAATTCGAGAAGAAGTCTTGCTCAGAGGCATTCGAGTAAACGACTCCTAGCTACCACAGATATTGACTGTAGATGATAGGGATGAAGTATCCATTGAGGTTGGTGGCTAGTACTTCTGGACTGAGTCCTTGGTTTTGCTTCAAAAGTAGGTTCAAGTTTTGGCCGACTGTCTGCATGACGGATTGCTTAGCTTGCCTGTCAAACTGAATGACTCTCTCGATTAGGCTTTGCAGTTGGGAAGAGTAGTCTACCAATTGAGTCAATTAGCTGTCTCCTGAGGGTTCTGAAGAGTTAGAAGAACCTGAGGAGTTATCAGCATTGCTACTATTATTTTGATTTTATTATGCTTGCACCTCATATTGATTACAAGCGGAAAGTACAACATATCCCTCTGCAAGATACATTATTATATAGCCTGCTTTATCATCTAAATTATCTCTCCACCCAGTATAGATATTACTCTCCTAGCTTCCATCGTATAGTACTTGTAAAGCATCACATTCTCCACCTCCGCTAATCAATGATGCCATATTATTAATTATCCTAAAATTCAATCAAAAATAAGAGTTTCTTACGATTCTAAATTTCCTTTCTCAGCCAGGCAAAAACTTTGAAGTGATAATGGATCAGTCAAATTTAATCCCAAAAGCAAGTTTCTATATTTAGTCCAACCTACAAATATTTCAAAGATTCCTGTTGTATAAGCATTATAGCATTATTATTCATTTATAGCTGAAAATAGTATCACCAATTGTTAATCGACAACTCCGTACATTCTATCGTCAGCAGCATTCGCTTAGTCAATCCAAGTTTATCTTTAGCTCAAAGATGCTGTAGTTTATTATTAATCTGAACTAAATGTAGCTTAATCACCAGAACCACTACTGCCTCCACTGCTCGAATCTGGACTCTAAGAAGTCACAATATCTGCTGCTGCAGAAATATACTAAGATTAAACCCACAGATTATTCAGTGCAGAAATGATATTGTCGGCGGCTCCAACTGGATAGACTGAGCCATTAAGAGATTAACCGAGCTATCCAATTGCTTACAGTAAGGCATCTCCACCATTTGTTATATTAGTAGTAGCACCACCTCCACCGCCATTTTAATCAGTTTGGTTTTAGGCTTCTGTTTAATTTTATGGTCCTGTTTAGTTATTCCCATTATCTGGTGCAACAGGTTCTGTATTTCCACCATCACTAGGTGGCTAATCCCCTCCACCTTGATCGGAACCGCTACCTTGGCAAGAAATTAGGACTAGTCCTAAGAGTCCAATAAGTATAAGCTACTTTTGAATTTTCATTATTTTCATAATCCTAACTTTTGGTGGCTTAAATAGGAAAGAGGATTCCTTAATCCAAGAATGTTTCTATTTAAATTTTCCTTAAAATTTGCTTTTTGTTACTTTAATTGTCCAAATTAATTTTTACTTATTGTGAGTAAATTACAATTTTATTATTTCTAATTTGAAGCATTAACTTTCTCTTTGGGGTTTTGGGGTTTTGGGGGTTTTGGGGTTTTGGGG